AGTTTCTCCCCAACTGCTCTATCTTGATATGTGCTGAGTTTGAACTTTTAATCAAATCTCTTCTTTACATTCCCTCCAAGCAGAACAAGACCAACTTCTCCAATCTAGCCTCATAGATGTGTAGGCTAGGTTTTTAAATATAGGAGCAGGAGGCCATTTGGCCCTTCGAGCCTGCTCCACCATTCATCAAATCATGGCTGATAATCCAACTCAATAGCCTAATCCTGCTTTCTCCCCATAACCTTTGATCCCATTCACCCCAAGTGCTATATCTGGCTGCCTCTTGAATATGCCTCTTTGGCATCAATTACTTCCTGTGGTAATGAATTCCACAGGCTCACCACTCTTTGGATGAAGAAATGTCTCCTCATCTCCGTCCTAAATGGTCTACCCTGAATCCTCATACTGTGACCCCTGGTTCTGGACACACCCACCATCGGGAACATCCTCCCTGCATCTACCCTGTCCAGTCCTGTTAGAATTTTGTAAGTCTCTATGAGATTCCCCCTCGTTCATCTGAACTCCAGTGAAAACAATCCTAACCTAGTCAGTCAATTTCTCTTCATACGTCAATCCTTCCATCCCAGGAATCAGCCTGGTAAACCTTCGCTGCACTCCCTCGAGAGCAACAGCAACTTTCCTCAGAAAAGGAGACCTAAACTACACACAATATTCTAGGTGTGGCCTCAACAAGGTCCTGTATAACTGCAGCAACACATCCCTGCTCTTATACTCGCAAACTCTCGTAATGATAGCCATGGTAAATGTGGGGTTACAGGGATGGGGGGGGGGGGGGGGGGGGCATGCACCTCCGAGGGGTGTTGTAGACTCAATGGACTGAATGGCATGCTTTCATTACAAACCTTACAGCTCTAAAAATACTCTGACCACAACTCTGTATCCTATCCCTCAGCCAGTTCTGTATCCATGTTGCCACTGTCTCTATTATTCTAGGATTGCTAACTTTCCTTATGTCTTCTATGTTGCACTTATCAAACACCTTTGGAAGACCATATACACCACATCAATAGCGTTACCCTAATCAAGCCTCTCTGTTCTGTCCGAAAAACTTCAAATTAATTCAACAATTTCCACCAAGCAAATCCATGCTGACTCTTGTGGATCAATCCAGTTTTTCCATGTGACTATTAATTTACACAGAACAACAACGTTCTTGAAATTTCCACACCACTGTAGTTAAACCAGCTGGAATTGCTGAGAGGACTTTTGCAACTATTTTTGAGCGAGAGTGTAATGTTCGCAGTTCTCTAATCTTTTGAATTAGCCCCAATCCAGGGAAGATTGAAAGATTATTACCAGCACCTCTGCAGATTCCATTCTTATGTCTTTCAGTGTCTTTGAATACAACCTGGCTGGTTCCCAAGTCTCATCATCTTGAAGTACTGCACCGACTTATCTAAGACCATCTAATTAATTATACACTGTTCTACTGACTGAGTTTCCTTCTCTGTCACTGTGGCCTGTGCAGCATCTGCCTCGTGGTAGAGATAGATGCAAAGCATTCATTTAACACCTCCGTCATGTCTCTCACCTCCAGTGTAAATCCTGATTTTGGTCCCAGTCAAACCTGCGCCACCTTTTACCAACTTTTTACAATGATGTGCTTCTGGAAGGCTTTGAGATTTCTGTTAATGTTTCATAATTTCTCTTTACTTCTTGGTATTTGGTTTTTTACCTTCCTTCTTGGTTCTTAACCTGACACCTTTAATAAGCACATATTTTTCTTTAATTTATAACTCTTTTGTCATCTCGGGAGGGTCAGCGCCAAGGGAGCGGGCGCTGTCGGAGGGGATGTGATTTGGAGGATGAGAAATGATCAGATAGGCAGAGAGAGATAACAGCTGGCCATAACGTCCAGGATTTACTGATCAGCAAATGGCTCTGTACAGTGTAGACGATCAGTTAGCAGTTTCACAGGTAAAACAGAACAAAGCGAACATTGCACAGTGGAAATCAGGGTGCCCAGGGCACTGGATAATACAACACCACGCAGTCAGTCTATGTGCAGGACAGTGTATACCAGGCCAACAGAAATAGTATGTGCCTGGGGCACTGTAAACAGTAAACTACCCACAGCTGGGATTGCCCAACATTTCCTCTTTGGGCAAGTTTTAAGAGTGTATAACCAACGCACTGTACTTCAAATACTTCAATAGACTCCATCCTACCGCCCTTTCAGTGGAAAGATTAGTCAAATTATTACCTTCACATCTCCCAAAGGTACTGACTCTCACTGGGGTACGGGGTCCCCCTCCCGAAGGTGCTGACTCTCACTGGGGTACGGGGTCCCCCTCCTGAAGGTGCTGACTCTCACTGGGGTACGGGGTCCCCCTCCCGAAGGCGCTGACTCTCACTGGGGTACGGGGTCCCCCTCCTCTCCCAAAGGCGCTGACTCTCACTAGGGTACAGGGTCCCTCTCCCGAAGGTGCTGACTCTCACTGGGGTATGGGGCTCCCCCTCCTGAAGGTGCTGACTCTCATGGGGTATCGGGTCCCCCACTGAAGGCGCTGACTCTCACTGGGGTACGGGGTCCCCCTCCCGAAGGTGCTGACTCTCACTGGGGTATCGGGTCCCCCTCCCGAAGGCGCTGACTCTCACTGGGGTATCGGGTCCCCCTCCTGAAGGCGCTGACTCTCACTGGGGTATCGGGTCCCCCTCCTGAAGGCGCTGACTCTCACGGGGGTATCGGGTCCCCCTCCCGAAGGCGCTGACTCTCACTGGGGTATCGGGTCCCCCTCCTGAAGGCACTGACTCTCACTGGGACCCCTCATTTAACAGAGACCTGTGATGGTGGGCAGGGAAGTGAGGGCAGGTTGACAGGCCAATGTCTGTACGAGTCAGCTCCTCGAGGGTAGGGACAGCAGCCCAGGAGGACGAGGAGTCCCAGGGTAGGGAGGAGTTAGGGGTGGGGCAAAAGGATTATGGGGTAAGGCAGTAACTGAGCAGGGTCAGGCCTGGTATCTACATCCTTAACCCTCCCTCACAGATACAGACTGATACAGACTCGTGCTCACACACTCTCTCACACTTACACTCGCACACACCCTCCCCCCCCCGGGAAATATTTACACAATATACAGCAGCAGCACTAACATGGCTTTTTACAGAAATAAATACTCTTTACAATAGGCGGTGCCTCTCAGTGCAACATAAAGGTGGCAGAGTGTCTCACCAACATCCCTGTCTCTGTCACCCAGCAATGTCAGTAATCCAAGTCACATCCCAGTCTGATCCACTAACAACGCCCCTTCCTACAGCCTGCCCTGCCATGGGAGAGAGGGGTATGGCGAATAAGGGAGGGGGAGGGAGGAGGGAATGGGAGGGAAAGTGGGGAAGGGCGGGGTGGGGGCTGAGAGCTGTGGAACAAACCAGACTGAGGTACACCTCATTTCCAACACAATACACTGCCCTACATTGGTGCCTGGGTCTGACACAGTGCAAGTCTCTAGGCAGTGTTGAACTGACAAAGTAAATAACTTAGAAAATAAAACAAAGTAAGGACACAGGCCATGACCTAAAATGACTTCCTGCCACAGAGTTAAGAACATATTAAACCTACAGACTGAAGCCTGTTTGACACAGCTTCCAACCCTCCCCACCCACCCACCCCTCTCTCTCTCACATACATATATATATATGCCAAGCTCACAAACTGGATCATATATTCTGACTGTAAAAATAGTTACTTTTCCAGGATATTTTTTCACTTCATATCAGACACAGCTCCCACTCCTCGCTGGCTCGCCACATTGTACAGTGTTAAATACAATCATATTTACAGGGTGTGCATGGGATGCAACACCACAGTGCAATTTTCACAGGGGCATTTTATACATACACACACACACACACACACACACACACAGACACACACACACACGTGTGTGTGTGCCATCCAGACAGTGTGTCTCTACTCTGGCCAGGGCAGAAGTTCCAGGCCAGGCCAGGAAACTCCGGCTGAGCACGTCCAGCATCAACATTCCAACAGGGCTCCAAAGGTTTTCCGGCAATCAATGGCTTTGGCACTCGGTGGCAAAACACGATACTGCTTCAGCTGCTCCGAGCTCCAGGAGCTAGACAGGCGGGAACAGGCAGCCCGGTATCTCTTGTCAAATATACCTGTCAGAATAACGCACAGGGGTGTGAGAGAGTGAGGTTGTGGGGGGGGGGGGGGGGGGGGGAGCGGTAGAGACAGACAGACAGGGAGGCGAGGGGACAGAGAGAGAGAGAGAGAGACACACACACACAGACAGGAAGGTGAGGGGACAGAGAGAGAGAGAGACAGGGAGGTGAAGGGACACAGAAAGAGTGTGTGACAAGGAGTGAGAGAGAGAGAAATAGAGGGCCAGTCACATAGGGAGGTGAGGAGAGAGAGAGAGACAGAGACGGGGTGTAGGATGGGAGGTTAGGTGGAGGGGAAGAGAGAGATGGATGGGGGCCGGGAAAGAGAGAGATGGATGGGGGACAGGGGAGTAATATGAGAGGGAATGGGTTGGGGGGGGAGACAGCGAATGCCGTCTT